AAAAATCCTGATAAGGTATAGTATTTAAATTTTTTTTAAAAAAGTTTAATTCAGTTAAATATTGACAATGTTTTGATAGGTTGCCATAATTTATGAAGCTGATGAACCCAATCAAGATCGAAAAATCACATATGGTGAACTTTTACGTGATGTTTGTCGTCTCGCCAATGCGTTGAAAGCTCATGGAGCAAGAAAAGGTGATATTGTCACTATTTATATGCCAATGGTGCCCGAAGCCGTCATTGCTTTCTTGGCATGTGCTCGTCTGGGGGCAGTACACTCTGTAGTCTTTGCTGGTTTCTCTGCTGAATCTTTACGTGATCGAATTCAAGATGCATCTAGTAGATTTGTCATCACTGCTGATGAAGGCCGTCGTGGTGGTAAAACTACTATTATAAAAAATATCGTAGATAATGCTTTAAAAGAATGTCCTACCGTTGAATGCGTTTTTATTTTCCGTCGTACTGGCTCAAAAGTTCCGTTCATTACTCCTCGTGACGTATGGTGGCACGAAGAAATTGAAAAATATCGACCTTATTGTCCTCCAGAAATTGTCAATGCAGAGGATCCTCTATTTTTGCTTTACACTTCCGGATCAACTGGCAAACCAAAGGGAATTCTTCACACTACAGCTGGTTATTTATTAGGTACAGTAACTACATTCAAATATGCATTTGATTATCATGATGGAGATATCTTTGGTTGTATGGTTGACATTGGTTGGGTTACTGGTCATACTTATATTGTCTATGGTCCGTTGGCTTATGGTGGTACTACGATCTTGTTCGAGTCGACACCTTTTTATCCTACACCAAAGCGGTATTGGGAGGTTGTTGCCAAGCATAAGATTACGCACTTTTATACAGCACCGACAGCTATTCGTTTATTACGTAGATTTGGCCGTGAACATATTGATTGTCATGATCTTTCAAGTTTAAGAATTATTGGATCAGTTGGTGAACCTATCGACCCAGAATCTTGGAAGTGGTATAATGAAGTGGTTGGCAGAAATGTTTGTTCGGTTATTGATACATATTGGCAAACAGAAACTGGATCGATAGTTATATCACCATTACCCGGTGCTATTCCAACGAAACCTGGTTCAGCGACTTTACCATTTTTTGGTATCGATCTTGCAGTACTTGATTCTACTACCGGTAATGAGATAACAACAATGGAGGCAGAAGGAGTTTTGGCCATACGCAAACCCTGGCCATCAATAGCACGTACAATTAATAAAGATCATAATCGATATGTTAATACATACCTAAAACCCTACAAAGGTTATTACTTTACAGGTGACAGTGTTTCTCGAGATAGAGATGGTTATTATTGGATTCGTGGACGTGTGGATGATGTTATTAATGTGTCAGGTCACAGATTATCAACTGCAGAGATCGAATCAGCTTTAATTGCTCATCCTAAGGTTGCAGAAACAGCAGTCATTGGAATACCTGATGAATTAACAGGACAAAGTGTACACGCTTTTACCACCCTAAAACCAGACTGTAATGTGGATGTAAAAGATTTGATCTCACAAGTACGTGAGGCTATTGGAACATTTGCTGCACCTAAAAAGATTTATGTTGTTGCTGATCTACCAAAGACTAGAAGTGGAAAAATTATGAGACGTATTTTAAGAAAGATTATTTCTGATGAAACAGATCAATTAGGTGATTTAAGTGCTTTGTCAGATCCAAATTTGATACCTATTTTGACTGAAAAAGTTAATAGTTCATAGATTTCTTATCTATCTATCAGTTATACTATTTTGGCTGCGTTATTAATAACCCTGTACATAAATCTTTATCACAAATGTGAATTGTTATTAATAAAGTTTTTGTTTACTAATTAAACATAGAGTATGATTTAGGTAAAATGTTATACAGTAATTGGTCATCTTGACCAGACTGATTTGACCAGTCTAATTCAAGAGCTTAATACTTGTCAAATTGGTCAAATTGTACGTCGGGATAAAATTATTATAGATTTAGAATCTAAATGTAGCCCAAGTTTCTATGAAGTTTAAAAGCAACTTAAATTGATTCTAAATTTGATACTGTAATAATCAATAAATTTAATAGTAACTTAAGTTGATTTTATTAAATTCGATATTGTAATAAATGTGTAATCGATTGACGTAACGGCAGTTAAATAAATTAAATTTGTCTATATAAAATACAAAGATGTACAAATATCTTGGCAACAAATCGGCCAATAGTCGGTATTATTATTGCTCGATCAGATAACTTTATTTAAACGAGGAAGAACATATGGGAATCCGTCCGCTATTATTTACAGGTTTTACCGGCTCCGGACAAAAAAATCCCGACAGCAAAAATCCCGACATCCCGACAATTAAAATTTTGATAAAAAAAATATCATAAACCATAGCTAACCCAAGCCTAACGCTCATCTATAGTGACCTAACCCTAAAGTTAATTAAATTATAAGAGTCTACTTCACTTTAAACATATCCCATATTGGGATTTCTACCCGATTGTCAAGATTTTTAATTGTTGGGATTTTTGACTGTCGGGATTTTTTTGTCGGGATTATGACCTGTCGGGATTGTGCTTGTCGGGATTTTGACCGGCA